GGGCGGCGGCAAGGAGGGGGAGGAAGCCGCGGGGCACTGAGCAGGGCTGGTCGAATGGCTGCTGGCCGGGTACCGGGTTGGGGTCTGTGTCAGGCCGACGGCCTGGGACAAACTCCGTAGGCTGAGCCGGGCCGGCAGTGAGGTCAATGGGAGGGGGTAGGTTTGTAGGAACATGTTCAAGTAGATCTATCCAACGAACGAGATGAAATATCCCAAATTCTCCGCAACGACGACTTGATCAAGAAAGATAAAAGAAAAGAGAAGGACAAGAAAACCTAGAACTCACAAAGAGATCTAGCTTCTCCTACGAACTCACTAAGAGATCGAGGAGGTTTGCACTCACAAAGAGAACATGAAGTGTAAGTTTTCATTCATCAAAAAACTAAAGAGCAAATACAATGATAAAGCCTGTATATAGGCTATCCGAAAATAAAAGACAAAAGACAACATCGCCCTTGGGCTACAATAAACACTAACTCCCTCATAGGGGTACAAATAGAAAAACACGAAATAAAAATTACATGAATAAAATAAAAATCAGAAATAAAGACTCTGAATCATGGCCGTCGCTCGACGACCCCTCCGATGGTACGTGTGCTGGAATCTTCTATGGATGTCCTCATCATACCATTTCTAATATTTTCTAACCAAGTCTTTTTTAGGTTTACATCTACATTTCTTAACATCAGTTAAATTTAATACCTCAACTTTCCTAACCGGGTCATCAGAAGGACTCCGTTTAATGTGACCAACCATCTAAGGCGACTCTCTCTAATCTTATCTTCCACTGGAGCTACTCCAACCTTTTCACGTATATGCTCATTACGTATCCTATCTCTAAGGGTAAAGCCACTCATCCACCTAAGCATCCTCATCTCTGCAACACTTAACTTAGTATTATGCTTCTCTTTTAATAGCCAACATTCGGCACCATAAAGCATTGCAGGTCTTACCACCAATTCTATAAGAGAGGCACATAAGAGACTAAATTATTTGTGAAAATTTTGAGAAGAGGAAAACTACGGGGCCCCAATTGAAATAATCCAACTAGTATGAGTTAAGAATTATAAAGGGTGCCCTTTCTTATAAATATAGAAGGCATCAATATAATGCAATAAACAAGAAAAACAAAGACATTGCTTGTGGTGTAATAGAAAAAGACTTAAAGTGCCCCAAAGTTTTCATTCTACAGTGATGGCGGTTGTGTTGATCAAAGGTTAAGCGATGGGAACATATGCATCTCATATTGATGGATGATGCACACTTGATATCGATTTTTATCAAGCATTAGATGATGTTCAATGAAGAATATCAAAAGCCAAGTGATGAAGAATGGTCAATTCAATCATACTCTTGCTAAAAGGGAGACTGGATGACTGATTAGATGATGTTTAGATGTTGATGGTTGATGGATGTCGAAAGTTGACAAGCATTGGATTTTGGTTGTTGGCAAATATCAAATAATAGTCAAGAGTGAATGTCTAAAGTCAGATGATAGTAAAAAATTGACTTGATTGTTCTCCTAATGGGAGGGGAGACCGATAAATAGAATATGAGCATCATACATCGATGATAAATAGATGACAATTATTTGTTGGCAATGGTCAATTAGGTATGTTGGAACTCCAATGACTATGAGGAAGTAACTTAATTGTGTTTTTGATAAAGGGGAGATCGGATTGAGGGTTTACGATAGATAAATAGAGGTTGAATTTGGTGTGCCTTAAACTTTCAGGTTTAACATTGTTGAAGCTAGTGCTCATAATAATCTTTATTAGGCTTAACTTTCTAGAGTATCAAACTAAATTACACATAATTCAAGTTCTTTTTAGTATTCTAGACAATCTATTTTTCATCCTCCTATTTTAAATAAATTTAATTTTGATATTTGCAAAAAAAAAACACATTTTAATATTATTACAAAGTACATAATATTAAATTTGATCTATTTTGTTAATTGGTGGATTCTCTCCATGTATTGATAATGAGTTAAATGAGCTAAACTCTTTAGATATCAACTATTTCCGTCAGACATTATTGCTAGATGATATCTAACTAATTTCAAATTTAAATAGTGGATTATCTACTCTGGATGCATTCAATACTTCATTTAATATTCATCATAATATAGATGGAAAAGCCAATGAAAAAGAAAACAAAATTAGAAGGAAAAATGTCAATATACTATGAAGTGATGATTCACAACAATATAATTTCATGAAGAAGAAAATGAAAAATAAGAATTACTGAAAATATAACAATATTCTAAATATAATTTAAAATATATTTTTATAGTAATCAAGATTTACTTATAATGTTTTATTAATTTCTTTTGAATTTATTTTCTATTTATTAATATTTATTAGGTATATTAATTAATAATAGTTAAATTTGATATTTCCTTATATAACACTCAAATCTTTAAATCATACAAAAAATATCACTAATATTAACTTTTCTAAAACGAAATATACAATTTCATGCATATGTTTTGATGTGATTGAGATAATAAATTGTTATATTCATAAATATCAAAGTTTAGTATTTACATATGTAAATACATAAGAATTATATGGTATGAATGTAAGCTCCTCTTATATTAATTTAGAATAATTAGCTTATATCTTATTAATTTTTAAATGATTTTATAATTTTTATTTTTACATGATATTTTTATAGAAGCTCATTTAAAATATCCAAAATTCATAAAAATATGTTAAACTTAATATTAATGAAATAAATAACTTTTGACTTTTAAAATTCAGGCTTAATTCATATTCCACTGAGTTCCTTGAATTTTTTTTTATATATTCATATATTATATGAAATTCTTTGAATAAAAAATGAATTTATTTTAAGCATTTGAAATAGTAGCTATTTCCTTATTCGACTATTGCTCAAATTAGTTGCTTATGGTAGTTGAAGAATTGATTATAGCCAAAACTTAACATTTTGGAGTTTCATTTTGGGTTTTATATTCCAACTTTAATACATAGATTATCCCACATATAATCGTATAAAAATACAAGGGCATTTTGAGCATAAATGTTTTCTCATATTCAAGAAGAAAAGCTATGCTCATCCTCTCAATTTTTTGAAATTATTTGGTTTAGTGCATTTGATTTAGTAGTTGACTTGCAATTATTTTGTATCAAGCTTATATTGAACTTTATGAAAATTAGTGATGACCTTAGATACTATAGAAGTGTTTGATCACTTTAGAAGAAGTTCCCCTAGCCTTAGGCTTAGAGGTTAGAGGTGGTGCCCTTGCCCATAATAATTATTTTAATGATTGATAAAATTAATCATACAAGCTAGTGTAGCGTATAAATATTTTATAATTGTGCCTATAGTTGAATCATTCATTACAAGATAAATTAATCATTCAACACTTACTTAGTCTGATGGTTACATTTGCATGTTCATCTAATAGTAATTGAGTAACCCATCAATTATATTGTGCTTGACTTAATAATCTTATAAAATATCACATCTTGTATGCGTATACGCTATATTATTTATCTAGTTATTATAATTATAACTTCCACATATCATATCATTGATTACTTCTCACGTGCATGCTTATTATGAAATATTTCATATTGCATTTTTGGGGTTTAAGTTGGGAAGAACTTCATAAGTTATATAATGCAAAGAATTTTGCACAGTTGATTCATCGCCCTCTTGGCATGTCTTAAATCATACAGAAGATTGAGAAGGAGGGTGCTAGGCCTTGTTGACTGATGTGCGTCGAACATTGGTCATTAGAAAGTTTCAAAAAATGATTAGTGAGGAATGTTGGAAGTCAAGCAATAGTAGGGAGTAGACTTAGTCATTCTCTTGATAGGAAGGGAAACTAGGTGGCCAGGAACACAGATAACAAATAATGATGGATGATAGACCTAAGATGATGTTGGTGATGGGCATCAAGCATTGCATTAAGTTACAGTCAATTGGATATGATGTTAAATGACAATGATTGATGGATGTCAAACGGTAGCAATGACAGGTATTGATGTAGGTTGATCACTAGCACCAAACAATAGCAATGATAAACATCAATTCCAATAGACAACTAGTGTGGGATGATGGCAATGATGAACATCAATATTGGTCAACGATTGGTATTCGGTGGCAGCAACAATATGCATTGATGCTAAATGATTGATGGCGTTAGGTTGGTGGTGATGATAGACAAAGTTTTACAATTCTCTATGAATATCAAGTTTCTCTCAATTGAAGATTCTCTCCCTAATGTGTAGAAAAATCACCCACTTACAATTTTTTGAAGGGAGCCTTAAATACTCAAGATTAAGTGATTTTAAACTCATCAGATTCTTATCGTTATGAAACTTATTTTGATTAAAAACACAAAATTTAGATGATATTATCTCTCAAATGGCTTTTAGATTTATTAATTATGCATATGAGAGATTGATTTAAACCTATTTGGACTCGGATCAAAGCATTTTTGGTATTGTCAGGGTCATCTTATCAAACTGTATGGCCTTGACTACAAATTTGCTAAAAATAAAATTTGAATGATCTCATAGATTATGAAGCTTCTAGCTATGATATTTGGACTTTTTTTTTAGATTTTAAAATTATTTCAAAATTCATGCTTTAGCAAATGAATGAGTTTTATGTTGGGGGGTATCAATACATTTTTAAATGGAACGGAACAAAAACCAGTGCATCAGTACCTTTTCACTCATAGTTTCCTCTTGCCCGGTAAGGCTGGTTACTGGTTACTTGCGTAACGCAGCAAAGCAAGAAAAAATCAATCAAGATCCAAAAGAGAAGCTTCAAAATTTTACTCAGAAGTCATCAAAGCATATCAAAAACAAAAACCTAACGCGAATAAAAAACAAAGAAAATCCCACTTTAAGAAAACGGAAACACAACAATGCAAAGACAAGACGACCTACTGTTAGAAAACCTAATAAAAATGTGTCCTAGAAGGCAAGAATTAACTAAAGCTCGGTAATGGCGTCCTTCACCTGCATTGGGAGCTGTTGCGGAATAATCTGATGGTGCTGCACGAGAAAAAGAACGAGAGCAACCACTAGAAAGATCCCAAGAATCCACCAGATCCAGTTGATGATCCAACTCGACAGCCGGGGCCGCCATTCTGACGCCCTCCGCTTCATGCCCACGTCGATCACCCCACCTCTCACCACCACCTAAAAAGCCCCATCATCAAACCTATCTCGCTCCCATCAACCAACAAATAGCCTCAAATCGATGACCACATCGCTTCAATTCCACACATAAGTCCGATAAACACGGACTGTTTTCGAGCCCGATTTTGAAGTTGGAGCGGAGAAGAAGATTCCGCGAATCCCCAAATTACTCGATTCGCAGTGAACCTTGTGAGCCTTCAGAAATGGGGAGAGAATCTCTCTAAAACTACTTTCTCCTCCCAACTTCGCTGTCGGCGGAGGAGAGAGAAAGAGAGAGCAAAGCTCGCTTGCCATTTCTTCGGGGCGACTGGCGAGCAAGTAGTTTGGCCTCTCATCGTGGTGGGCCCATCAACCCGCCGGACATGGCGACTTCCACATAGCTAATATTTAAAATATGTTAGCTTCGATTTTATTTTATTTTTTTAAGGGACGATGAGATTCTGGCTCAAATATCATAACAATACACAGCTCACCTTGGCTTGTTGGTTGAGAGCTTATGCTTCCAACTAAGAGGTCTTGAATTCAAGTCTTTGTGTATGCATTGTGTGTGTGAGTTTGCCTTAAATGGCCTAAATGTCCCCAAAAAAACAAAAAAAAATATCATAACAATAGTGGGAACAATTATTAGGTCCTCCGATCGGACGTAGAGCTACGTCCGGTCGGAGCTAAAATCGCGCCAAAAAGCGAGACTACCGAGCAAATACTGAGCAATACCAAACAATAACGAGGAATACCATCATGTGAAGACCCAATACCAAGTTATATCGAGCTATTCGGTATTTTTTGTATAACTCGGTATTGCTCGGTATAATTCGGTATTGATCTTCACAGAGCGGTATTCCTCGTTATTAGCAAATAATACCTAGCAATACCGAGCAAATACCGAGTTTTTTGGCGGGATTTTAATGCCGACCGGACGTTCCTCTACGTCCGTTCGGAAGACCTAATAATTTTTTCAAAAGTGGAGACACCGTTGCCACGAATTAAAAAAAAAAAAAAAACTAGCTAATATTTGAGCTATCAAACAACTACAGAAACTCGCCAAAGTCAAAATAAAACCGAACGGGGAGGACTGACGTAAATGCAAAGTGCTCTGTTTAATAAGGATTTTAAAGGGACAGACAAAAAAATTTATCACACATCAACAGTTTTTTTTTATTATTATTAAATTTTCTAGTAAGCAATGTTTAATTATTCATAGCCATTGATTGGATTCTAAATCCAATGTTTATGTGCATTGCATTTTGGGTTTATAAATATGGGTTGCTCATTCCACAGGCTATAAGCTTGGAATTAAAAACCCTAACATTTTTATCTTTATGGGATTTACATTTTATCACCTCTCTTGTTCTCTATGTTTCTCTTGAATCCCGCATCTCAAGTCTTCATAGTCCCATATTTTGAATCTAGTAAGCAATGTTTAATTATTCATAGCCATTGATTGGATTCTAAATCCAATGTTTATGTGCATTGCATTTTGGGTTTATAAATATGGGTTGCTCATTCCACAGGCTATAAGCTTGGAATTAAAAACCCTGACATTTTTATCTTTATGGGATTTACATTTTATCACCTCTATTGTTCTCTATGTTTCTCTTGAATCTCGCATCTCTAGCCTTCATAGTCCCTTACTTTGAATGTTAGTTTGCCGCTGAATTAGAATGGTTCTTTGTCTCGATTGAGATTGATGCCGCTTTACGTTGAAATCTTAAATCTCTAACAAATTAAGTCTCTCCTTGTTAGTTTCCTCATTGGAGGAATTCTTATAACAATTAGAATTTTCAAATTATAATAATTTATGATTATTTATATATTTATTTGTATGCATATATGATTAATTTATAAAAAAATTGAAAATTAAAAGAAAAAAAATCAATAATTTGAGTCAATTCAAGTCGAAAATGAGTTCAACAAGCTCATTGAGAATAAAATGAATCGAATACAAATATGATTTTCAGTGACGAGTAATTCCAAACAAAAAATACTCGAATGAGTAGAATATGAACTCACAACAAACTTCTTAATGCACGGCTCGTGGACTCCCCTTGTTCTAAACACCCAAGCAATATTCAAGATGAAAAGCTTCTTGCCAATAGGGTAGCAAAGAAGTCACTCAAAAGGAAGGCAGATCCATCCTAATTGGTATTGCTCATATTTTAGACAATAGTAATATAAAACGAGTCAAAAAAATTTAAGAAGGATGTATCACAATAGCATCATAAGAACAAAAATCATTATTAAAAGTGCAAACATCAAACCATCAAGTGAACACCAAGCAATATTTGGAGCATAAGCTCCCATCCAACTATTTGAAGGGAAAATGACAAATCAAATCAAAACTAGAAGCCATTAAAATGTGTATAAACAATGAAGCAAAGTCATATATCTCAAATTGCTCCACATGTTCACCTTTTGTCAAACTTGAATATTGATTTAAGGTAATAATTTTTTGGGTCTCAATTAGGATAATTGTGTATCCTTCTATTTATTTTCTTTCATACATTAAAAAATAAAATAATATAATTCTATATTCTTGTGCTAATTAAAATAGTTTTCATATTGCGAGCATAACTTTTGGGGGTCTATTTACTAGCTTATTTATATTTAATGCCTGCTTAGAATTAGCTTATTATATTCCATACTATTTGATAGTTTGGATTCATCCGATTTCTAGAACATAAGCGCCCTTAACCTCTTATGCTTTGTCCTAACATGGTAGTACTCAAGCTAATAGACAATCCACTGGCTCATACACAACCCATCAACAATATTTGTCCTGCCAGCACATTCAACACCAATGATTTATCTAATTTAACAACCCATATTTGACCCACATGCTAACAAAATCCTATCAGCGCTTATATATATGGCCACATGATGGGGTCATGATTTCCCACAAATCTAAATGTATGTAACTAAATATATCGAATTTGCTTTTTCAAACATTTTGTGTTATTTCTACCACCATCAATTACTATTTGATATCACCTTCGATCAATGCTTCCAAGAGCGCTTGTTCGCTCTTAATTTTCATGTTGTCACAAGCTCCCTCTATTTAGGTATTTCTATTATTGTACAACACCAAACAAGATCTGAAAAGTGGGCTTAATCTCCTTTCATCTCCTGGATGTGGGAAAGCCAATGACTTGGCGACCCATTTATTTTGGACAATGCTCCAGCATTGCCTTCTGTGGCATGACAACTAAAGTCTCCTCTAACATGACAACCAAGGAATCCTCCACTAATCTTTATTATATAACTTCCAAGTATGAAAGGTTCCATTAGGCTCTCTTTGGTCCTCGTTTTTCCTAACACTCAAGTATTCAAACACTCTAATATTCATAATAAATAATTATAAACTCACATTTCTCCTACCTTATAACCACCCGCTCCCCATGTCGTTATTTCCTTTAAAGTTGCCAACTCACCTCCTCACTACCACCACATGAGAACTTATTAGTCAATGTCATTCATTATCAACTCTTTTGCTTCTCATAAGATTCATTTACTCACCTACTCGTCATATATCTCTCATTTTCTATAACATTTACTATAAATTTTGCTACTCAATTCAATTTTGCCTATCTTTAAAGTTCACACATAACATTTTAGTTATTGCATGTCAGTTACTTATGTTTCTATCATTGAAGATCCATCAATATGAATTTTGTAACCTCATGCAAATCAGAACTACTCACGTATGTGTATAAGGATCCATCTGCTTCCTCTTGGTCTCTCTTACCATGCTTTAATGTGAGGCTAGCTAGAGGTTTTAGACACAATGGTCACAACCGTATAGGAGGTACAATCTTTCTCCTCCCCACTCCCCTCTTAGGCATGGGCTTTCAAAGCCATCACCTATGTCATCGTCAAGCCCAACACTCAATTACTCTTCCTTATAAGCCTCACAACATAACAAGGAATAAGGAAGAGTGGTACAAAACTAAAATAAACTATAGGGTTCTTATATGAATACCTTGAAACAACCTTTGGAAGTGAGTCTTTGCGTCCAAACTTAGGTGAATAAAAGGCCATACCTAACATCTATTACACAACCCATCATCTGCACACCTATTAGCTCAAACATCCACTAAACATGGGTTGTCACAAATGATACCTATCATTTGTGCTCTATATGCCATGCTCAAAGCTTGGGACATTGACTTTGACACCTATTGACATAGAATATTTGTTTGTCTCCTACCATCCCAATGTCCTTAATAACTTCAAAACTCACTAGTCATGGGACCAACATTGAATTTGACTCCAGTCATCAACTCTCACACTAGTTATATCCCCATGGATAATGTTAGGTACTTTAGAAACAAACCATACCATGCATAAACTATGTAGAATACTTGATACTTTTTGGACTTATGGAACAAAATTTGATAGGTCCCCAATCCTAATCAACACCTAACACATGGTTCAAGTTGGATAATCATTCTAACACATTTATGCTCATCTAACTAATTTTACCACCCCTTCAAGCCAATTTTCATCAATTTTCTTCATAGATTTTTTGACACTGATTCAAATGTGCATATCATGATTTGCTGTAATAAATGGAGTTGTCTTTATAGATATGGAATTAAGGATTATTTGAGTAATTTAAGGTTGCAGATGTAGTCTTATGGATTTGATGGAATGGTGGAATACCTAGGTTGGCAAAGAACGCCAAGGTTATGCAATATTTTTAGATTGTGAAAAGAGAGATTAATTAGGGTCTCTACGAGTGGATTAGAAGTGTGGAGGAGTGTCTGATAAAGAGGAAAGTGATGGAGATGAAAGGAGAACCTATAATTCATAACTACCTTTGAATTTGGAAGGAGAAACTATAATTCAAAGGAACCTTTTTTTTAAAAAAAATTATTTTTATGTAAAGTGGGAGATGAAAGGAATTGATGGTAAATTAAGAAAGATGAAAGATGGAATAAAATAAAATTGATATATAATGGCTACCTATGCTTGGCCAGTAACCCTCCTATGGCCATGGAAGTCACCAAACTTCCATATTGCTCTTCTACTACCTACTGAAAATAAATTGGAGATTCTTTTTAACACACCTTAAATATGAATTTTTATCGATTTCATTTCCTATTTATACATCAAAATTGCAATACTTTAAATATCACATATCATTAAAAAAAATCCAAGTGAAGGGGAGGTTATTGCCCTACAATTTAGTGGAGAGGAGGTCATTGCCTTACAATTCTTTCATGTGAGGTAATACGGTCCTTTCTATAGGCTTCAAAGGAAGCCCATGAAACTATAGTAGATGCATGACTGTAATTGATCAATACTTTCTATAGGTC